CTCTCTCTCTCTCTCTCTCCTCTCTCTCCAGGCTGCTCTCTCACTCTCCCTGCTCTCTGTTTACTCTTGGACTGCCTGAGTGTGTGTTTGTGTCTGTGTGCTAGAGTATTAACAAGAGAGACAGAGAGAGAGAGAGGGTTCGAGTGAGTTTGTACTCACTCATGCGTTTGTGTGTGTGTGCGTGCCGCGGTGCCTGCTGGCAGAGCGAGGTAGGGGGAGGGACAGACCGACGGAAAGAGGGAGGGAGGAAAAAAAAGAGAGATAGAGGAGAGATCAGATGAGGGGAGAGAGAGAGGCTGAGCACATAGCACCGCCCCACAGTCCCACTTTCCTGTGGAAGTCTTCCCAGACGACCGCCATTGGGGAGAGACACGGCAGAGAAGAACAGACCAGCACTCACCGAAGCACAGGGTGGACAGAGGGAGAGGAAAAGGAGGGGAGAGGCCAGGAGCATGTGCTGTTGTGGAGCATGTCAACCTGACACCAGCTCAAGTATCAAGCCAGCTGGCAGGAAGAGCGCCGAGACTGAGCTGTTTTCATCTCCTCTGCTCTGGATCGGAAGGCCCAGCCCTGAAGAGCTTCCCGGCTGGCCGTCTAGAGATTAGACCGTCTGATAGTGTTATCCAGAGCAGGGCCACGAGACGACGGCTGGAGTGACAGGCATGTGACAGACAGGAACAACCACTTTCTGGCTGCACCAGGTGTTGATTGGACTTTCTCTGGGAGGAGCTAATGGGAATACAGTGCCCTGATTGGGTGTGAGGCTACCACCTGTTTCAGTATTGCTGCTTCTGATTGGATGTTTGTTCCATGTGTGTTACTCCAGCAGCTAAGGCCCAGAGTCAACCAGAGCTGCTTTGGATTGTGCTTTGTGTGTTTGCATATGACGGAATAAACTGGATGTAGCTAGAGGTCAAAACAAAGTGACCGTTGACTGTCAGGAAATTAACTCCACTGCTATTGCTTCAGCTTCACCGTATGCTTGTTTAAAAGCGCGTGATATTATGGCTGTGTTTGTGTCATGGCTAATCTGAGCATGCGTATGTTTGTGTGTACTCTGTCGGGTTGGAGGGTGTCTGACTTGCATGGCTGTCTACCCCCCTCCTCCCCCCACAGATGACTGTAAAAGGTTAATAGGTTATGGTCACGTGTCTCGGTCCTCTTGGAGAGAGTCAGGCTGACAGGTCTTTGAGAAGCTTTTCTAGCAATGCCTTTCGTGGCAACAATGAATATTTCAGCTGAAAAACCTCTTCCACTTTAACACTTGACAGGTTGTAGGTGCACAACAGCTTTTAGACACCAGAAGCTCAGACTTGAAGATCAGTCTTGCTTGTTATGGAAGTTCTTTTTAGACTGGCATTAATAAATTCTCAGCATGATGGTGAATATTGTGCACTTTTCCACATTTGCTAGATGATGCACAGCTTTTCTCACCTTTTTGACCAAAGTAGTTTTTATATCAGTTGGTATGTATGACAGATGTAGTGTTTGACTTTTGTTGGGGCAGAGAGAAATGTTACACAAATGACTTTGCGAGAGTTCATATCTTGATCATGAGTGTCCCTGCACATATATGCAGTCTTGTGAATATTGTCACAGATATTAAATCGAAAACTACGAACAGACCAACATTTATTGCAGCTTTTGCTCAGTAATCGTCTATTTACTGACTTATTCAAAGTGCTGGCACAAGATTCAGTCTTTCTGATTAATGTGAGAGTTGAAATGACAAGGCTGCAAACAGCTGTCCTTTCCTCTCCTTTGGCTCCGAGTTCTGCTTGTTGTCCCACTACCTCCATTAAGCGATGAGATGCAGAGACCCCTGAACCCATGTCCAAGGTTATCCTAAGACGTGTTGGCTCTGTGCCTCCTAATAACACCCCTCCCACCCGCCACCCCCAACAACCTTTTGAGAGGCTGTCCTGTTGCCAGGACCTGTCAGGCTGGCACAGGAAACAAGTGGGTGGTGTAAGCTAAGCCTCTTACAACACACACTGTTAATGAGCTGCCTTTAGCTAACAGCAGACTCTGGTAAGGGGGCACTGGAGCAAATTCTACACTATCTGTCTTTCTCACTCACTTGTACTCACACGCTGAATGCTCTCTACATTTCTACTTTTAGCACACATACATGGTGCTATTTGTTTGTGTGAGTGTGCGCATGCTTGTGTGTTTCATGACAGGTTGATCTATCACAGCTCTGGCCCAGCGGGTGCCAGTAGACTCTTGTGTAAGGCACAATCATGTGGTTGACTGGGTAAAGGACTAGGGTTTCTTGGAACTGGGTCACATCAAAGTCAGTTAGAATATGACACAGAGTGAACCTAGTGGGGAGAGTTAGTGATGTCATTGGTGTGACTGACGGTTCACCTACCACACCACTACTTCAATCTCTTTTACTCTTTCACTCTGTGTCTCTCTCTGTCAGTAGTTAGGAAGTGTATGGCATCCAGCCATGCTACTGCTGGGAGAGTGGGACTGTGTCTATGTTACACTGTGGACAAAACTCCCAGCCTGTGCTACAGCTTTGACAGCTGTATAGAGACAGCTGTTTATGGCTATTGATTTACCATGAACAGATTTCCATGATGTACACTACAAGAGATTGTTGATTGAGATAGTGTTGACAGTATATAAACCAAAATAGCCATTAAACTTGACAAGAAGTGTACTTTGCACAGGTTATATCACTATTATTTTTACAGCTTCATAAAGAATATCTTGTCATCAACAAGGACACATCCATGTCTGTCTGTCTTCTTTTGTATCCTATCCTAATCCCTCTGCCAATCTATCTGTTAATTCCAGGCCTTCTTCAGTATGGTAGGAATTGGTCCGCCATCGCCAAGATGGTGGGATCAAAAACCGTGTCACAGTGCAAAAACTTCTACTTCAACTACAAAAAGAGGCAGAAACTGGATGAGATTCTGCAGCAGCATAAAATGAAATCGGTAAGCCGAGGGAAAGTTTCCCAGTCATATTTTCACCTCATAATGCCGACACATTAAAGTCATTTATGCTTTTTATGCACCTTCATGCTGTAATGTTTCTGTTTTGCTTTGGATCTAAACATCTTTGTTCCCTCGGGGCTTTTTTTATTTAGTGTGTGCTTCTTTTGACCCAGGAGAAGGAGCGAAAGGCCCGTCGTAGGGGCAAAGCCCTGCAGAATGAGGAGACCAGTGCCCCGTATGCAGCAGAGGAGGAAGAGATGGAGGGATCAGGAGCCAGCTGCAATGAAGAGGAAGCCCCCGAGGATGGAGAAGGTACACCAGTCTCACGATCTGCATAGGTTATCCAAAACAGAACAGTGTTTAAATTGAAGGTTATATTTTACCCGTATTTAAGGCGTGACGACTGTTTTCAATAGGATGCTGTTTTATTTCAGTCTATAGTATTTTAGTATAACAGTGAATATTTCTAATTTTCTTAAGAACTCATATTTGTAAATGGGGTCTGAAAGAAAATCTACGTTTAATCAAAACAGAACATGAAAGTCTTTTGTAATCATGTAGCTGATGGCTGAGTTGTTTTGGATTGCATTAGATTGTACAGGTGTACCTAATAAAGTGGCATCTTAATATGTATGTAATTTAATCTAACAGTGAAACTCTGAGTAGTTCCCTGTTGGTGTGAAGTATCATGCTCTATAGTGACAAACATACAAATATCATGAAAATCCTTCTGTAGTTTGTTGATAGAAGTATACTGCGTAGACTGCATTTCCACAATGGAGTGCTGATGCCTCAGGGGATTTCATCCATCATCTGAATTGGTTTTGTGTTCCCTCTTATTGTACAATGAAACCTGATTAGGCAGAAGACTGGCACTGTGAAGAATCTGGTTTTGCAGAAAGAGATGGGAAAAAGATGGACAACAAAAAGGACAAGGAGATATAACATGATTTACAGTATAAGCCCTAATCTGTGTTTCTTTTTGTCCTCTGTCCCTGTCCCAGGTGGAGCCAACAACAGCTCTGACACAGAGAGCTTGCCCTCGCCTCACTCATCTGAGGACAGCAAGGCTAAAGAGGAAGGCTCCAGCAGGTCCAAGGGCAGCTCCAGCACCGGGGACAAGGAGGAGGCCCGGTCGGACATGGGCCAGGCAGAGGAGGAGAAGCCTCAAGTCAAGGAGGATGCAGACTCAGCCATCAAGCAGGAGATAAAGACTGAGACAGGGGAGCCCAACAAAGAGCAGCTGCAGCCAACACCACCCAGCGATGCCACAGATAAAAAACCTCCTACAGCAGAGACAGAGGAAGTCAAAAGCTCCACCAAAAGCTCCAAAAAGGATCATGTATCCAAAACAGGCTCACACGGGGACAGTGACTCTAGTGCCACTTGCAGCGCTGATGAGGTGGAGGAGACAGACAACACAGATAAGAGCAGGTGAGAGTTCTTAGCAACTGATACAGTGAAAATAGTCTCTTTATTTATTTATTTAAACAAAAATGGCAATTTCCAATTTATTTCAATTGAAAACAATGTTTTATAGCTCTTTCACGCTTAATTTCACTTTTGACATTTTTAGGTGTGGTTGAAATTGTTAGTGTCAAAGGGCTACTGGTTTTTGAGTGATTTACGAGGTGTCCTACTTCTCCCGTCTACCACAGCAGACATCAGAAAACAAACCAGCGAGGGTTTTGAAGTGGTATTAGTTGCCTAGCTACACTGTACAGCAGCAAAGCCATATTTGGCAAGCCACTTGTGTGTATACCACAGGTTGCGCTCTTCTATCCACCAGAGATTGTAATTGCATTTTGTATGAATGAATGAAAAAATCTGAGTGTAGTTAAAATCAAATTTATAGCTATAGATTTTATATTTTTATATGTGTGTATAGATATAGATATAGCTATATCAATCTGTGTGTGTCTGTGATTGAGACCACAAGAAATGGGTGTCAAAGTGCGTGGGAGGAGTGATTAGTCTTGTTTGCACGGTATTTGTTCAATTTTTTCCATGACAGCAGACTGCATGTACTGGCAGAGCTGAGGGAAACGCTGCCCTCTCTGCCAAAGCAAACAAAGGGAGTGAGAGTGTGTGCGCATGTGTGTATACACTCTTGTGCTGCTGTGCATCAATTTGTGTGTCTGTCTGTGATTCAGAGTATGATGTGTGCTTACGACAGATGTGCGAGACATGGATATGGATTTTTACTTGTAATTCTTTTTCACACTCTCGGACACACACATACACACACACACACACACACACACACACACACACACTATGCATATCTGCTTTCCCCCACCATTTGAATACATGAATAGTTTTTGTGAGCGAAGATGTGCCTGTCTTCTTTGGAAATATACAGTAAAAACTGGCCAAAACGCTGCTCTTTTTGTTGTATTTTGCAGTTTTTACTCTTTCAAGTTTTCTAATGAATGTTCGAATATGGTTTCAGCTGGGGAAAGCAAATGACTCTACGCAGTGTATGGACCTTTTCCAGTTAGGATGTGTACTTGAGTTGTACATGAGTTGATGGAAACACCAATCAGGAAATGTTATACCCCCTACCCTTACGCTCTTCTTCACTCCCACTAACTTATTTCTGTCTGCGTGTGTAGAATGACTTCACCACGGCCAAGCCTGCTGAACTACACTCACGATGGGGTCATATCATCCCCACTACAGAAGCCCATGGATCTAAAACAGCTCAAACAAAGGGCTGCTGCTATACCGCCTATTGTGAGTTACTAGTTATATTTTTTGTGTCTTATAGTCTTTTCTTCTTTTTCTTTTTCTTACACATCACACAACAGTTAAAAGGATGAGCATCTTAGCTTTTTCACCCTTGGAAAGTGTCTTTGATTCAGGTAGTGTTTTGTAACTGAAAACTGATTTGCTCAGCTCGGGTAAACAAGCACATACACACTATCGCTCTCCCATTACAGTGGTATCAATGCTATCCCTGTCTCTCTGCTTACAGAGATAACAATATAGCAGGTGAAATTGTTAAGTCATATTTGTATACGATAAGCCAACCAGATGGAGGATGATGGGATAGATTGCTTTGTGGAGAAGAAATGAGATGCCAGGCATTAGGGAAACTTTAGCTTACTAAGAAATAAGAGATGCATGTTAGCTATCATGTTTATCAGATACTGTATGTGGCTAACCATATGTCAGATGCCAGGTAGGATTGGGCTTGTGTTTATCCGTGTTATGAGTGTGGCATGTATGTAACCTTTTTATTTCCCTCCTGTCTTGTGCACAGATGCCAGAGGCCTCTGTGCAGGGCAGCCAGCGGAGTGGGGCTGGGAAGGCAGTGCTGCCTCCCCATGCCCTGGCACTCTACCAGCAACAGATCACTATGGCTCATGGGGAGTCCTCTCAGGAGGTCAAACAGCAGCAGCAACTTTCAGGCCAGCCAGGCAAACAGCAGCCTTATACCCCACAGGCGGACAGAGACAGGGAGGCTCTTCACAGCAGCAGCCCCCGTGTTCGTCCACGCAGCCCCTCCACCAGTGAAAAGGATGGTACGCAAGCCTTTATCACTACAGGGAACTACTCATATTGCCTACAAACTCATTTAACTATAATGTTGCGAATGTAGGAACCCCTTGCAATTTTCAGCATATTCTTTTCCCTTTGCCATTTTTTTGTGTCTGATCTGTGTGTCACTCTGCTGCAGGGTGTACGTCTGCATGACATGGTACATTGCTGGAGTTGTTCGTTTTAAAATGTGTACAATACATGAATTTGCAGAGAATTACAGGATACATGATTTTTTTTCACTAAAAATGGCTATTGAAAATCTTGCACAACATGCAGTTCTAGTAGCATTTGATCTAGTTTTACTTAGTTGGTCCTTGCTATAAGCTCTCACCTTGAGTCTGTGTTCTCTAGTGTTTAGGGTATTCAAGTGTTTCTGGGACACTCGCGAGGAGGGAACTGATAAATGATCTGGTATTGCTATTGACCCAGAAGGGAATATAGTCTAGTTCAGTGCACTTACTGTAAGCTGGTGGAATGTGAATGTCTGAGAGCACAGTGCAAGACTTTTACCAGTCCAGACGAAGACAGGGCTTTTATTACCAACTGGGCACAGCAGCTGGGAATGTTAGAGTACAGCAGCCACTTTATCAATAATGTTAAGAAAGTAGAGGACTTAGAAAGCTCTTTTTACCTGACATAGGAGCATGTGTAGGTACATATTAAAGCTACTGTTTATTAGTATTTATCTGCCCATGTGGTGGAGAGAGTAGAGTTAATGTAGTTAGTGCACATCTGTGGGCAAGCAAGAGAAAAATGCTGTGAGGATGCGATGAACTGTGGTGTGTTTGTGTCCCTTCAGAACTGGAAGGCAACGAGAGGTGGTTACTGACCCTCCTGCAGGGATTAAGTAGGTTCACCCATTGCCTTTTACCCCTACTTCTTTCTAATCACACCTTTCGCACACTGCAGTGCAATCACCTCCTCTGCTGGATTTAACTTGTGTACTTGAAGCTGATATTAGCAATAGGTTGTTGTGATGTTAGCGCACTTATTCAGTGGTTTGTCACTGTGAGTGGAAAGTGGCACGAGGGATTCTGTGTCATTACGATGACGGTGATGATGCTGTCGACAACAGTGAGTTAGCAGTGGCAAAAGGACGGCTTCTTGGATTGCTCTGTCTAGATGCTGTGTCTTGGTCCTGACTCCCTCCCTGTGTTAATGTTGCAGAAAAGTCCCAAGCATTCTCTCCCCATGGAGAAGCCAAGAAGCAGGCGCTGGGCCCTGATGACCTGAGGACTTCCAGCTTGGGTCGCCCAGTTCTCTCCCCCTACCCCATGTCCCCGCGAGACATGGCCAAGATCAGTCACGACCAACACCTGCTCCACTTCAACTGTGAGTTTCTGTCCTGTCTTGTCTTTATATTCTTTACAAGCATCATATACAAAGTATTTTAATTTGTAGTGTGTAATATACTGTATTATGGAAACTTATTGACACTAAAGGTCCTCTAGAGACCTTTTAATAAAAATCAAATACTCAATCTCATAATCTCTTCCATCTACCAGCGTTCCCACAAGCAGGCCACCCCTCGCTATCCAACCTGCCACAGGACAGTGGTAGACTAGCAGCAGTGAGACCCCTCACCATGCCAGAGCCTCCACCTCTCATTTCCTCCACCAAGCCAGGAGGCTCTATCACACAGGTAAGCTCCACACACAAAACTATTGCTTTTAGATAATCACGATTCCTCAATATTAAGACATTATTAAAAAATGAATGTAACAAACTTAACAACTACAAGAGCTGTGACGGGGTATATGAACATTATAACCAAATATATGTTTCCTCAGGGCACCCCAGTGCAGCTGCACAGTCCTGCTCATGGGTTGGACCATGGGAAGATGCCCCACACACAGATGGGGTTACCTTGGATGGATCAAAGGAAAGTTGGTGAGTATAATTGGTTAGAGGGATTAGTACACTTCACTTTTCCTTCCTGTAAGCTGCCACCCACTGCTGCCACACCTGATACTCGGATCTAATTATAACTCATAATAACTCATTACTGTTTGTCTCTTCATTCCTCACTTGTTTTCATTTTCTATTGTGCTATACAGGTACTTTCCCAGTGGTAAAGCAGGAGCAGCTGTCCCCTCACAGCTCGTCCTCCCAAGCTGATAACCTGTCAACCCAGGGAGCACCTCATGACAGTGGTACTGGACGTGGTACGTGCCTTGTTTTTTCCTCACATTGTTTCCATACACAATGATTTGGTATTTAAGCTTTGCCTTTGCATGTTTCCTTGGCCTGTACAGGGGATGAGGAGTTATATCAATGTGTCTTGGATATATATTCACTCACTTTTTCAAGTTTTTTTTCCCATCACAACAAATTTATTTGAGAATTATGACATTTTTGCCATCAGCCATGATGTCATACACCCTTGAATAACAAAGTCAAATCATGAGTTTTTTTTATTCAGCACTGTCATGCTGAAAAGATTTAGCCCCTCAGCATGACAGTGACTCGTGGCACACAGCAAGGACCACACTGGAGTGTCTTGGGGACAAGTCTCTGAATGTACTTGAGTGACCCGGGCTAGACTTAAATCTCAATTGAAAATTGGTGGGGAGTTGAGTTCACTGAAGCTCATCTAATCTGACAGAGCTTGAAAGGATGTGAAGAATTGGAGAAACTGCCCAAATCTGTGTGTGCAAAGCTGGCAGACACGTACTCAGGAAAATTTTAGGCTGCAATTACAGTCAGTGGTGCCTCAACACAGTTTTCCTTTTTAAACTAAATGAGTAAAACTAACCATAACCACATTTTTACTCTGACATCACTAGGTATGGTGCTCAGACTGAAAACTATCATAATACGCGTTTGGCTTCTCAGCCAGCCTTGCAGGACTTAACGTAAAAACAATCTGTCAGTTGTTTAAATTGTGCTTTACTTCAACTACTCTTCGTCCGACTTTACGTGTTGAATTACAATTTCCTTCTTACTTTGTTTACAGCTTCTATTCCAGCCGTCCAGGGGGGCAGTATCACTAAGGGTATCCCAGGGACCAGAATGCATCCAGATTCCTCAATATCCTACCGAGGGGGCTCCATTATTCAGGTGAGTTCACATCAGTGAAATAGGTCCCATTTGCTTTTTTTTTTTGCTGCTGTACAGGAGTTAGTAATGTCCCAGTTAGGTTTTTTTTGTTGTTGTTGTTTCTTCCTGCTGATCCCACTGGAGATTTTCTGTGGACTGTCCTTTTAACAAACTTGTCTGCACTTAATCTTATGTGCTAAGTTAATTTCAAGTGAGTACGTTTGAGAGATAACAGACTATACATTTATAAAATGCCTGCTGGTTTAGATGTCTGTTTTTGAGTATGTCATGTGGGAATCCTTGCTGTTTCCCTTTAAAATACTCTTAAGCTGTTAGTTTGATGATGTAACCTAAAGATAATCCCCTACAACTGTGTTTTAACTCTCACTGTAACAGTTGCAATTTGCTACTGCTGTGTTGGGTGCGGCAATCCCTGATGTGTGTGTGCGTTATGAAAATTCTGCTGACGGTGTTCAAGTAGTTTTAGTAGTGCATTTCAACAGACAACTGGCAAGCAGTTCTCTTCCCCTTTTTATTTGAAGAACCTGTGAACAGCCTCTGAAATGCATCTAGATAAGTATTTTCAAATATTGAAATATATAGGCAGGGTAATGGGTCACATACATTTAGAAGAGACTTGCTATTATAAATATGATTATTTATGACCTAGTGTTTCTCCTCATATTACAGTGCTGGAGTGGTGTATTCAGAATAATTTGATTTCCTTGAGATTGATTTAATAGCTATAAATGGTGAACAGAAAGTAATACTGTTTTAAATTGTGTTAAGGCTTATGATATCACTGGCTCTTACAGCTGTTACACAGACAAGCCAGTTTTGTTATTTTTTTTATTATCCCAACCTCTTCCAGTGCTTCACACTAGTTTTGCTCATATATGCAGCCATTGGCTTTTAAGCGGACAGTATGAAACCTGAGCTTTATACAGTAAATCTGAGCTTTGTACTTATGATGAAAGAGAGAGCAGCAGAGCTGGTGAGAGGTCATGAGGCAGAACAAGTGCTGTGGCTGCTGGATTTCCCTGGTGCTGTGACATAACCACAGCTCTGAGTGGCCCTGTCGCCCTAGCAACAGGTACACACTGTACCGCGTCTGTTCCCTCTTTTATTTATGTATTTACTCTAGATGCTGGCTAAACCCAGTCATTGATATGCCCACTGTAATATGACATCCAACTGGCACACAAGACAAAATGAGTGTTGAGGGTGCTGGTACACACTGTGACAGATTAGGAAAAAGGAAAGATAAGGGGATAATAAAGAGTAACCAGTCCTGTTCAAGAGCGAAAGAGTTATTTGTCTAGCTTTGAGCTAGGTGGATTGATAGACGTGTGTGTGTAAGCACTCAGATATGGCGGTGATGCATTTTCTTATGGAGAAGCCAAGAACTGCTGTAGTCAGTGCCATCTGATCCTGTAAACAGAAACCCCCCCTCCCCATTCGGCAAACCCTACTAGTCTGGCCCCCAGCCTTCCTCAGTCATTTCTGGGAAAAGCTGCAACCAACAGATGAGAAATGTGCTCTCAGGCCCTACTGGGTCTGTTATTCAACCGTCCACTCCTACTCTCGTCCCTTCACCAGGCAGTGTAGAAATATGACTCATACTCAGGGTACGAGTGATGTGAGTCAAGGTTTTAACAAAGCCGCCTGTTGTCATCTGCTGTTGTCAAGTGGTTGCACCTCCGCTTCGTCTGGGAGTACTACTCTGTATTTCAAAGATGTGTTGTTGTGTGCTTGTTTACTTACTGTTTTGGATCCCTGTTATATGTCACTATTGTAAGAAACACTGACTGCAGCAAAAATAATTCAAGAAAATGCAGGACACATTCTGTATGTAACACAATCTGCAGTATGCATCAAATTTAAATTAACAACTTACTGTTGCTGCACGCATTACACCAGATTCAAAAAACCTGAAAAGAAAAGCAGTAAAGAGTGAAGAAAGAGTGTTCCTCACCAGTAATGAGGGAAACGCTACAATAATTGTTTTAATCAGAATTGTAATTCACCTCCACTGTAATTCGTTATGGTTTTCCTAAATTAACTTTATCAATGACTTTTAACAGAAATCTATTATTTTTCTATTGAGTTATTGTAATTTAACATTTAAAACATCTGTTTTCATTTTGCAGATTCTGGGAATGTTTATTGTATGCATTGTGAGGTTTTTCATTGAAGTGCTAGTTCTTAATATGTGCTGTTTAGGATATAGCACAATTACATAATTAGTGTTATCCCCTTGAGATAGTATAAGTATGAATCTCATAGTAAACACGGGAAGCACAAAATTAAATCTGGTTTTTATAAAACATTATAATTACCTGTGCCTGGCAGAAGAATGGCTTACCTGTACAGATAGCTGGCTGTTGAGAGTTTGTAGAAAGCCACATAGCCAGGTGCAAAGGTTGACTTTGATGGCTTGGTGTTCTTTTCATTGTTGCTTTTTTTTTTGTGTGGCATTGACGTATAAAGTTGATTCTACAAGCTGTTAGTTTGAAAGAAATGAGAGAAATGAGGCGTGTTAATGGATTCTGCTGGTAGTCAAAGCTTTTTCTTGTAAACTCTTTCTCTCGTTTGCCATATCAAAATGGCGATCAGACTTGAGCGTTTTCTAAAGAATGGCTTCTACTGCACGCTCAGACGACAAAGTGCAGGTCTCATTTCTTCTCTTGTCACCACAGGGGACGCCTGCTGATGTGCTCTATAAGGGAACCATAACACGTCTAATCACAGAGGACAGCGCCAGCCGAGCTGAGAGGGAGCGTGATGAGCCACTGTCTAAAGGGCTTGTGCTCTATGAAGGCATCAGTGGGCACGTTCTCACATATGACCGTGAGTACATCAGCTAGGCAGCAGTATACTTTATGCTATGGCCAACATGACGTCTAGTGTGGTTTCCAGTTGACTATACAAGCAACAATCTGTACCTTGACTTTTTCATACAATTGGTTAGATCTCAAGACTATTATCCTTACTCTAAGAAATACTGTTGTGCACAATAAGTAGCATGCTTGTCATTTGCAGGCTCAGCATCTCAGACCCCCAAAGAAGAGGGCCGAGGCCCAGGGCAGTCTGGGGACATTCTGGGCTTGAAACGTCCTTATGATGTCATGGAGGGAGGCATCTCTAGAGGACTGCCTATGAGGGACTCGCTGTCTGCAGCCAACTGTGAAGGTAAGAGATAACCCTACGTAACCTTTTTTGTTTTTTTAAAAATTGTATTCAGCACTCGTTATTGCTAATATCACTTGCTATAGAAAGTCCTACATCTCAAGACTTCTCCCCAACTACCTCCAACTCAGGTCTGATTGGTCGCGCCATGCCTCATGATAGGGACAGTCCGCACCACACATCCTACAAGGATGCTCATCACATCCGAGGTTCTGGTTCCATCTCACAAGGTAGGATAACACCTTAATATAAGACATGGGCATAAGATTTTAACTCCCAGTCTATAATCATGACAGACCTTTTGTCTTATCTCTGCCTGCAGCATTAAAGATGGGATAGGCAGGTTTTGTTTTGTTTTTTTTTCCTTTTTTCCTGCTGTCATTGGGCAAAAAATCAATAACTACCTTTCTGCATATTGCAATTCAAGTGCTTTGAGAGAAAACTACACTTCCTCTAGGCTCTGTCTTCAGGCTTTAAATAACCTAGCCTATGACTGAAGACTCTGGCCAATCTCAGGTCTTTACACCTGGATCAGGTGAAATAATATAAAGAGCAACACAGTCTTGGTGGAGTAAGCTGTGGTGGCTGAATGGGTTAAACAGAGAACTTTGGATACGAGTCCTGCAGGAAACCAGAAAGGCATGCTGACTTGTGGTTTGACCTTTTTGCACATTTGAAGCATGTGCTCGTCTGGTGGGAGGGCCTTAGCGCTGATGAAGGAGAATGGAGAGCTGCAGGAGGATGACTGTTTTTTTTCTCCAAATTCTGTCTTTTTTTTTTTTTTTTGCCTGTTCCAGAATTCTGTCTACCACAACTTTATGAAAGAATCTAAATGCACTTAGTGTTTTTGATAATTGTGTTGGAAGACAACTAAATTTTATGAGTGGCAGTTGACTGGGTAAAGCATGCATAATTCTGAAAATGGCAGATTAAAGCAACATAATTGTTCACACAGAAGTCTTGAAGATTTTGCAGCACACTAAATCTTTGGACTGAATGTCAAAGTGTCTGTACCTAGAGTGCGGCCCTATTTGCAATAATAAGACGTTTAATGACGATCACATTATGCATTCTGTGTTTTCTTGAAAGTACTCCCTTATTGTACTCTCACTTCATCAGATTGGATTCTCAATGCTGACAAATATAGCTTTCTTTAGCTTTCTTCTTTTCAAGAAACAGATAGCTAGCTTACCAGAAGTCATTCACTGGCGGGAGTACTTTCATGTCGATATTCATATGTATCTATTTGATGGCAGTTAAGTCAAATAACCATCTAATATTGTCTTGCCTCGAGATAGTAGTCGATTAAGCAACTCTCCCCCGCTGCTTCAGTTAAGCTGATATAATCCTGTCAGAATTTTTCTCTCAGTCTCCCTCGTGTGCTTCTCCATTTCTTTGCTCATTTCTTGCTAAATTATTAAAAGAAAATTGAAATAGTTACTGCCCACTCTTGTTCGAAGAAAGATAACATTATCATATTCTTTCAATTTCAGGTATACCTCGTCATCTTGACCCTCAGGATGGCTACCTGAGAAGAGAAGCAAAGCAGATGAAAAGAGAAGCTTCACCAACCCGTGTGCCTGGTTCACTTTCTGACCCGATGAAGGGCAGAGAGGCCATTGTGCCCACAGTAAAGGAGGCTGGACGTTCGATCCACCTCATTCCCAGGGAAGAGCTTAGGCAGCCTGCCAAGGAGGGCATCATAGCACAGGTATGCAGATGCTAATAGCACATGTAGAGGCTATCCAACCCTTAATGCTTCTTAACTGATTAACTCCCAATGTGCCTCTCTTTAGGGAACACCCATGAAGCAGGAGGCGCCTGGTTCAGGGAAACGTCATGATGTCCGCTCCATCATAGCCAGCTCACCACGTTCCTACCACAATACACCCCCCCACCTGGAGATGCGCGCTGAGAGGGGCCGATATGAGGAGGCGCCTAAGGGGCGACCCAGTGCAGTGGTCAGTACGGCTAGCTCTATAGCCCGCTCTTCCCCCCTTACACTGGGGTCAGAGCAAGGAGGCAAAGCCCATCATAGCCCAGTGGGCTACGACGATAAAGGCGCCTTAAGGAACCCTTACCCTGGGCCCTCACATCGCGGCTCCCCTCTGTCCAGGGAGTCGAGCCAAAGGCAGCATGAGGGTGGGTATATCTCATTACAAACATAACAATGAGTAAAATAAAACAGCGAAATTTGAAACAAAACCCTAATGCAAACTATGTATGTTGTAAATGCATAAAAGGCTTGGTATGTAATAGGTAGTATAGTGCTAAGAAGTATTTTAAACAAGATACTTTACTCTTCATCGCACAAAAGCTATACTTGAAATTCTTCTGTTTCCTTCTTTTTTTCTCCAGGTTCCAGTAAGAATCCGCCTCAGGAGCGTAAAGCCACACCGACCCCCAGGGAGATGAGTGCCACCAAATCACCACTCTCTGGTGTTGCAGATCAACAGACCTATGAGCGTCTGCTGCAGGGTCTAGGAGCTACAGATGTGTACCGACAAATCCCCTTAGCCTTTGATCCTGCAGCGCTGCCCCGTGGCATCCCCATCGAACCAGGTACAGAGGCACAGTCAAAATTCAACTGGAAGAAATATCCAAACATATGACAGCTATCTTCTGAAACTCCTTGATTTTATTAGCATGATCTTCTTGAAGACCCTGTACAAACTCAGGTGTTTTTAGATATTCAGACCCAAATAGACTTCTCCTCATTTAAAATTATTGCTGGCAATTACAAGGTTTAGCACACTTTAACAATCATGCTAAAGGCCATCCATAAATGTCCAGACATCAAAAATGAGGCCTTACCTTTTATAGAGTGCTTTGTGTTGGTGATTCGAGAGAGCAGTTGCCAAAAAGTCCCCGCCACAGCGTAGTCTGTAAAAAATCAGCTCCAAAAAAATAAGAGCAAACATCTGTGTATCATGTAATAACTTTGATATGTTATTTATTCAAAGATTAATGATTTTTTGACTTTTCTTTATATACAACAGCATACTACTTGCCTCGCCACCTAGCCCCCAACCCGGCCTACCCTCATCCCTACCCCTACCTCATCCGTGGCTTTCCTGACACTGCGGCCCTGGAGAACCGCCAGACGCTGTTCAATGACTACATCACCTCACAGCAGATGCACCAGTGGCCTGCAGCTGCCGCCATGGCTGCCCAGCGTTCCGACCTCCTGAGGGGCCTTCCTTCACGAGACCAGCCTCTTCCTCTGCCCTACTCTGCAGCCCCTCGTGGTAAGGCTAACGGACTTCAAGTCACATCCTCACTCACTTTCAGCCATATTTGTCTTCACACTAGCTTTTTGAGGTGTTTGGCAAACTGAAAGTCGAGTCAAGTGTGCTGCACCTACAGATGGAGCTTGCTGAGAGCCCTTACCATTACGAAACAACAGCAGGGTTCATTTTGCCTGGATTTTATTCAATAGTAGAACCACCTGTGAGCTGAAATATGAAGTGCAGTGCTGTTCATGGCCTACTTAACCGTGTACCTCAGCTTGCAGCTCAGATGGATAATGCTTTCATAGTGATGTATATATTACAGTCAGCTGGTGTGCAGTTTCAAGCAGCAGTTAAAGGTAATTAGTCACTTCTAGAGAGAGACAAACATAATGAATGATCTGGTTTTTCTCATTCTCTGGAGTATTTATTTTCCTTTATTGTATATTGGCAAAGCTTTGAATGCATCTAATTTGCCATATAATTTCTAATCTATTTGTTTAAAAACATAATACATAAAAGTTGAGTTGCATTTAAGTGTCTGAAAATTGCAATGTAGAATCATTGAGGATGCGGTGAGTACGTTTGGTTTCCAATATAATGTTATACAGAAGCAAACGCCAACAAACCAGAAGTGAAAGTATTTACAGGAAAAGGCCTTGCGTCATTCATCAGTGACTTTGCCTTGAAACGCTCTCTAAAGCAGAATCTTATCAGGTAATCTCCCATTTTTTTTCATTGTAAACATTTACTTTGGCCATTTGTCTGTGTTGACTTATCATTTTCCACACTTTGAATCAAGACTTGTTTATCACTTCATCTTTTCATGCTTAATAAACATGTTTTCTACCATTATGCCATTACCTATAAAACCATTAAACCTTTGCATCACTGCTAACAACAAAATAGTTGCTTGGAGTTGGATCATATCTTCTGATGGGGGACACAATGAGAATGCAGCGCTAGCCTTAGTTTACGGTTTTGCTCTCGGCCAAGTACACCTAGACCAGCTATTAGGTTGTTCTTGACCCTTCTCTTCTTTCTGTCCCCTAGGGATCATCGATCTTTCTCAGGTGCCACACTTACCTGTCCTGGTCCCTCCCTCTGCAGGGACAGCTGGCTCCCCAATGGATCGCATCACCTACATCCCTGGGACAAGCACCACCTTCCCTGGCAGGCCTTACACCACCTCCCCCATCTCACCTGGTACAATTCAGCACACAGAAACAATCTTACCTAAATATGTTGCACTCTTACGGGTTTTGTAATGGTTTCTTTTTCCTTTTTTCTCTACAGTCGGCTCCTCACACATTAACAAAATGCAAGGCGCACCCTCTTCTTCAGAACGCGAGCGGGAAAGAGACCGTGAACGCGACAGGGAGCGTGACAGGGAGCGGGAGCGTGACAGGGAGCGGGAGAGAGAGAGGGAGCGTGAACGGGACCGGGAGAGAGATCGAGATCGAGAACGGGAACGAGAGAGAGATCGTGAAAGGGAAAGGGACCGGGACAGAGAGAGAGACAGAGACCGAGAGCGTGACAGAGAGAAAGGCGGGTCTCTTGGAAATGTGGAGCACGCCCCCATATGGCGACCAGGTGTGGAGGAGATAGTGTTTGTCTGCATGTTCAAAGTCAAGTCATTTGTTGGAAACACAAATGTAGTTCAAGAACAAAGTAATGTGTAAATTTAAATGAGTCTATTTGTGTTTCTCAGGTACAGAGCACAGCTTGGCAAGCAGTAGCAGCAGCAGCAGTGTGAGACCTTCTTCCCAGCCATACAGCCACCAGCACTCCCCAGTGTCACCTCGTACCCAGGAGAACGTGCAGCAGAGGCCAAGTGTCCTGCACAACACTGGGGGCAAAAGTATTTCTGTCAATGAACACTCCAGCTCATCTGTGTTACGGTAAAATGCTTTTTAGTTCTGTTTGTACAAGGACAATACTGGGACATTCTCCTAATCAATTTCTTTACCTTTCACAGAAAGAAGCAACCTGGATTATCATGTTTTTAAAAGTGTGTTTTGTTTGCACTGCCAGGTCCATGCCCTCAGGCTCATCCCGCTACCAAGGTTACCCCAGCCACCTCCAAAGGACAGGTGTGCCCCCTGAGGCCTACCCACCTGCCATGGACTCAAGTGTAGCCAAAGAGCAGAGTCGCGATGGAGGCAAAAACAGGGGAGGTCTACCTAAACACGTGCAGGACCAGCATGGGCCCTCCAGTAAATCTGACCCCAAGCTGTCCAGCCCCAGCCCAGGAGGAATATACCCAGGTTCTTATCCCTCGGCTTCAGGCCGTCCCCAGCACCTGCTGCCTCCCCAGCCGGATAACCCTCCTGGCCGTGGAGAAAGCGGTACACCTAGTAGGGAAAAGACTCAAAACAAACCGATGTCCATTCAGGAACAAGAGCTCCGAGCACTCGGTAAGACCACCATGACTGCGGCCAACTTCATAAACGCGATTATTATGCGTCAAATTTCTTGTGAAACGGGGATGCCAGAGACGGGCTCGCTTGTTGCCAGCAGCGCCACTGATGGTAAGACGCTCTGGATCCCAGGGTCCCCCTCATCACCCAGACCCTCCCCCGTCAGTCTGTGGCCTATTGCACGCTGTGGTGATTGGCATTATCAAATCAGCCCAATTCATTTACATTTTTTTAATTTCAATGCTATAATTTTTTTGCTTTTTTTCCCCAGTTTTATTATTGGTTTTTCTTTACAGACTTAAAGACCACCAAGGGTGCCCTCTGGAAAACCATACCTCTAGCCTGTCCAAATTGGCCCTGACTGGCTTAGATTAAATTAAAAGAGGCCGTCTACAAGCTTGATATAGCATTGCTAAAGTATTAATGGCTAATAACCTAATTTTTCTTAAAGAAGATCCTAGGTGTCCTTTAAGGTAGCTAAAGCTGGTGGGACATTAAGGCAGAAAATCTTTTGCTGCTTTTTTTTGTTTTCCTTTTGTTGAGGATGTGAATTTAACATGTGGCACCCCTCCTCCCTCCCATTCAGCTGCTTACTTTAAACAAAGTATTTCACCACATGCACGTGGGCATGACAAGAGTATATTAGATGCCTGAAAAGGCAGTTATCTGCAGGAGGCTTTTATACCCCATGTTCAATAAGCCCTCTGTAAATCAGGCACTTTAGAAATGCAGTGTCTCTACTTCCCTGCTGCATGTCTTATGAGACCCTCTTTCCGGCAGATATTCAAATACCTATTTGAAACACACGCTACTTCAGACAATAACCACATACAATGGGAATAGAAAATTGGTGTAATAGAAGTTTTATTAAACATCATGGAAAAGCCTTACCAACCACCAAACTCACTCCCTGGGGTCCCAGAGAGCACCGGTGCTGCACAGAAGGAGGGTGGAAAGGGGAGGGACATGGTAAAGACTGGGGACACTTTCAGCCTTCCGGGGGGGAGGGGGGTACTGCAGCTTCTGGCCCTCCAAATCTCTGCATGTTCCTGTTTATGGCTCACTGTAATCTATGCTGATTTTTTTCTTATTTTCTTCTTTTGTTTTTTCCACACATGCCAAACGCTCAACACATCTCTCTCAATCAAGCCTCTGGGAGTTTGTCTGTCATTTGGAATGTGATTTTGTTTTGTTGTTTTCTGCTTGTAGAGCAATGTGTCACATCTGTATTCATATGAGGCTGTAGGGCAAGTAACAAGTGCATGCTGAGTTTAAATGAGTGTTGTGGGCCAGTATACTCATTTATTTACAGTAGTCAACAGGATGCATGCTTCTCAAAACAGATGAGACAGTCAAGAGACACATCACCACCACCTTGCTGTTGGCATGCATCCACAAACTAGTAGGCAGGACCACAGAGAGAAATACAGACTATTGTCAGCTGCTGATGAAAAGAACCCAGAGTCTCTTATGCTGTTGCTAGCTAACAACAAATACCACAGCATGTTGTCCCCCCGGGGGACTCGTCTTCTCTGGGAGTCCATACAGGCAGTCCTGCCCCCCACACTTAACTTACATCATCCTCATTTGAGCTGAATACTGTAGTGCAAGTGTTGTGTAAGAAAACACATGAGACCTGATGCACAAGGGGACTTTAAATGTGTTCATGTGCTCGAGAATATCCAGACAGAATGTTGTAGCCCCATAATGGTTCAGCAAATTTAAAAAGGGAAATTGGAGTAATAGATTCAGTTTTGTATTGTCAGTATTAAAAATACTTTTAAATGCCCCTTGTCTCCAAGGTGCAGTGCCTTTGTGATTTTTCAACTCTGCTCATAGTCTTCAGTGCATCAGTTATGAAGTGACATTTTTGACTTCTTCATTTATGAGTCACTGATGCAAAACCAGTTAGTTTTAGCATCATTTCTGGTCAAAGATCGGCTCTTAGGTCTATATGCAAAGCATACACTAAAAATAATTAAGAAATCTGCAGTCACTCATACACATAGATAAGCAGACTAGTATTATTGTAGGAACTCTTGCACTTTGAGCTGTCATGTGCAGATGCATCATGAAATGTGCAAATTGAACATCTACCATTAGTCTTGATGGATGAACAGATATTTCTGGAAAACACATATTTTCATTAGGACATTTTAAAGTTTTTGAATTGTATTGATCGAAACTAATTTCTACATGTGTGGATGTGGTTTTTGTTTGTGTGTGCGCGTGTGTGCGTGTGCACCTTTGTGTCTTGTCTTTGGATTTGACTCTCAGCTCCGCCACACGGTCTCTACCGCCCTCCGTCTGAGGAGAGACTGTCTCCAGGCCAACAGCCCCCGTCTCCCTGTGTTAAAGGCAGCCAAAGGGTGGTCACCCTGGCACAGCACATCAGCGTAAGCCCACTTAACTACTGCATCACAAAAATGCCAAAACAACACAATATCAAATTATACTCAAATCTCAATATTTCAGTGTTTTTAAACTGCTCAGCAAAATAACATAACATGATGAACAAATTATCTAAAAATTGTAATGAGGGACAGTACATGACAAAGCACGTGCTGATAATGTGTAGTTGGGTTTTTTCCACAGTAAAATAAAATTCTACAATACTATCAGGGGATTTGTATGTATGCGAGACAGTGCTGTGTAATGTCTGACGTGATGTCTTTACATAAACAGGAGGTGATAACAAAAGACTACACCAGGCAGAGCCAGCAGCAGCAGCAGCAGCAAAGCTACCACGGCTCTCCTGTCCTGGACTTGACCCGTCCACCCAGTGCCTCCCAGCCCCCACCCATTTCACAAGAGTCTGCCCAAGGGTCCCGCTATCAAGAGGGCCTTGGTGGAGAACGTAACAGAGACCGGTAGGAATCACCATCAAGACCCTCAACCTTTGATACTGATGTTTGTAATTTTACAAATAAGGGATGAAATGACTAGAGGTCAAGTATGCATTACAGCTGTTCATATTTATTATTAGTAGTATTTTTAAATCACAGCAGTAATTGCATACACATGCTGTAAATATAATACATCTTTTCGAATTCTGTCCAGGTCTCCCCCTCAGCCCAAGACATCACCCGTCAGCGTTTCAAATGACGGCATTGAGCCAGTGTCTCCTGCTGGAGCTGGCTCTGAGCCTGAAAGCCAGGGAGGAGCCTCCTACCCCAGCGAGCAGGGAGAGCAAGGGTGAGTCCCTACATCGCTGCCTTATTGTTTGTATTGATTTGAGTGGCTGCAGTCACCTGAAAAGCAAGTCAGGCTGTCTACATAGAATCCAACTGTGTCCAATTTATGTTGAACACAGCTCATCCAAGATTTACATCCGCACTGCTGCAGAATATTTGCCATAGTTTAATATTCAGTTGACATGATAAATCCAGTGTTTGAATAAACTGAACAAAGTCTGGTCATGTAGTTGTCATACAGAAGAGCTTTTTAAAGTCCACACCAAATGGCAAGTCAATCCCGACCCAGCTCATACCTTGTGTTTATCGATTTTTTCTTCTTTTTTTTTGTCTGTAAATTGTTAGTGAAGTGTAGCTCGAGATTGCTCACAGCAATCTTGTCCCCAGATGAAAGTGGTTTTAATGTTGCCTATTGCTGTTGTTGGCATCGTTGTCATGGCGACATGAACTGCTGGTGATTGTGCTTTCTGTTGCTGCTGTGTTTAGGCATTAACATTAATTTGCTATCAGCCCCTAAATTGTAGAGGCAGAATGTGTCTTATCTTCCGTGTACAGTTTCTACAACCAGTGTAAATGTAAGAAAACATCAGAATTAGAAATAAATATGGACTAACTGAGCCGTCGCTGTCTGCCTCAGTTTCACACTTGTTCAATAACTAAAGACGTTGTGGCATAATCAGAGTTCAGGGGTTACACTGATGCAGCTGATTGCAGGCAAACAGTGCTAATTTTCCCGTGCCTTGAATATCTTGAACTTGAATTAATGTGTCTGAATGTTTATAGGTTAGTTGATTAAATATAATTGTATATATCTGTGGTAGCAATTATGGCCTCTGACAGGTCCTGTGTCCATCTAAAAAGCACTTGAATTCTGGGATTAGGGATGGAATAAAGGGTCTGTCAGAGGGAGTGATGTGGGCTTCAGTTGTCAGGGATCACAGGGATGGATGTTTCCCTGGCAAAGCTTATGCTAGGATGCTAAATGGCAGACTTGTCAAACCTCAGATTCAGGAGTGACATCGTCTGTAATAGCAGTAAAATACTGGACCTGTTATTTATTGTTGCAGAGACACTCGAGCTGTCACAAGTTTGTACAGGTTTGTGCTCTGATCCACACAGTTGCTGCTGGTAGTCAAATACTTACTACACTACTCATTTTCACAAATAGAATCTCTCAGTAAAGTGCAGCAGTGAAGTGTTTACATGATTGCATCTCTGCTTTGTGTCAGTAATGTTGTACTGGTGGGGGTTGCAGCTGAAGTGCTTGGTATGAGTGCTTGAACATTTTTTCCTAGCCATAAAGTGGTATATTACCAGGATGGGAGTCGCTCTGGGTGTCCTCGTTTCAGGATTTGTTTATGATTGAGCGGTCTCAGGTTACTAGGCTGTTATTGCTCACGAGCCTTGGAATAGTCATGTGGCTACAAAATGTAGTTATGTCTGCAATGTTATATTGAGGGTATTGCTGTTCACCCTCGAGCGAGAAGGAGCTCATGCACCCAGGTAAAGCATTCGATCTGATGCCTCCTTCTTGAGGGATGCTTGAACAAGGAGGCAAGCCCTGAATCTCACATCCCAGGGGAATTCCTCAGTAAGGGAAGATGCTAAAGCTGAGGAGAAAAGAAAATGTTTGCTTAGCCTTGCTATCACCACAAAATTTACAGTGGTGAATGGTTAGATGAGTGGACGGTTTATAATTATAACATTTGTTACAACGTAGTTCCCCTTAAATGCTGTTTAGATGGGTCAATTTTTGAATTTAAAAGCAGTGCAGATTTCATCTCTGAAAACAAAGGCTGCCTACAAATATTTAAATATCAGCATTTTGCCACAGTAAATAAATCATGAGAACATCACAGGCGTCAGATTTTTGTGTGAGTGTGTGTGCTGACCTGCACTACCTTCCCTCCTACAGAATGGGCTCCCGTTCTCCTCCCAACACCTCTCAGCCTCCAGCGTTCTTCAGCAAGCTGACTGAGAGCACCTCAGCTATCGTGAAGTCAAAGAAACAGGAAATGATCAAGAAAATGACCGTGGTGGGAAATGACAGTGATTTCAGTAAGTCTGATCTCAGAGGCACAGACATGAGCAAACAAGTCAAACTGGAAGAAGAAACCTTATGTTTTATCTAACAAAGTGAATGGACCTTTAACAATGAAACCCTGATTGCATTTTCAGATTCTGGACAGCCAGGAACAGAAATCTTCAACATGCCAGCATCGACCACTGCAGGTAATTTTAAAAACCACATCCATCTATCCATTTTCTATACTCCGCTTAATCCTGTGTAGGGTCGTGGGGGAGGCTGGAGCTTATCTCAGCTGACTTAGGGCGAAAGATAGGTCGCCAGTCTATCACAGGGCAACAAACAGAGACAGACAACCAAGCACAGTCACATTCAAATTTCAAAACATACCTCAGCATGTCTTCGAACTGTGGGATAACATGCAAACCCCACAGAAGGACCCCAGGCCAGGGAGCGAGCCAGGGATCTTCTAGCTGTGAGGCAACAGTGCTAACCACCTCCCCACTAAAACCACATCATTATCAGTAAATATTTAAAGTGGGAAGACAGACTTTCACAACGCATCTTTTATTTGTCGGAGCAAATGTTGTTGTAAAGCAGAATGATGAATGGCACATTGAGGTCAAGACCTTTCTAATCCCTTCGACTTGGGGAAAGTAATTTTATAGAAGGATTGCAAAGCTTGCATCATTTTCCAAACAAAATGATTTCGACATGTTTGTGAAATTGGTCAAATGTATCAAAAGCATGCTGAATGCAGCTTCATCTTTTTGTCCGTTTAGTTAATAATGCAAGGTGGGATGGCTTGCAAGAGGGTTAATTCAAATATATCTGGTAGGAAATCCGTCACTTGACATTGTCGACCAGCTGCACGCGACAGTATCTTGAATGAGAGAGCAGGAGAATGACAGTTGAATGGTTTTTCTAGACTCGTATCTATTCAAACGACAGGGCAGCTCTCTTGCATGTAGTAAAAGTGAGAGTCTCCGCCAAAGCAGAGACCTTGACCTGGAAACGGTCTTATCGGAAGGTTGATGCGTAAAGTCTTAACAAGCGGATAAAATTCCCCTGTGATATCATCCAAGATTTGAAAGTAAAGGCTCCTCCCTGACTGGAGCTGTGGGGCTGTTCTGCTCTCGTCCTATCCTTTATCAGCTCTTACGTTGATCTTAGTCAAAGTCTCTTTGGTGGTTATTATATTCATCTCCATTGCTTACAACTCTTGTGACAATCTTAAAACAAATTACCATCACCACCTGTTTTATTTATCTCTTTTCCTACTTTCTCTCAGATACTTTTTGCTCCTGTGGTTCTCTCTCTAAGTCGTTGTATTCTGTCTTATGCTTCCTGACCTTCTCACCTCTCATTGCGCTTGTTCTGTACCAACAATATCGTTCTCCCTTTTAACATTTTTAACACTTACAGGACCCGTGAGCGTCCGCAGCCACCCAGTTCAAGAGGCACCTGGTAACTCAATAGGCCTGGAGGCCATCATAAGAAAGGCCTTAATGGGCAAATACGATGATCAGCCAGAGGAACGCCCTCCATCCAACGCTGCTAACCAGATGGGTTCTGGTGTGTCTGCCGACGGACGGCTTGAGGACTCTTTCTCACAAGGTGCCGCCTCCTTTTGCACTTTGACCTGTTTTGTGGTTTAACTATTTCCTTGAGTGCAAATAAGTCTCCATTTTATTTTTACATTATTTGTGTTTTCATCTAGTCAATGGCACTTAGTATTGTCCTCATTTCAACAGCACTCAAGAACACACAACGCTGTGTGTTCAGTATTTTATTCAGTGTACTGATGTTGTCTGTCAGTTTTATAACCCCTCAAATTAACTTCAGTATTAGTTTGTCTCAATATCAACTTTAGTTAGAGAGTAATATGACCATAACTTACTACTTCAAATCAGTGATTCTCTTTGTCTGTACGTCATCATGTAGACCTTGAAGTCTAAATGATGGCTTAACATCAACTGGCTTGAACTAGTCACATTCTCTCTTGTTAAAAACCTCTCTGTCCTCTGCAAAGTACACCCATAACACTTTGTTGCATCAAGGAGGATTCACCAAACTCCTCCTCTGACCACCTCCCTGCCAGACTTTTAGGATGACTTTTTCAAGAACTTTTAGGCATCTGACTTTTTAGTTTCCAGCAACTGACTTCAGATAAGTAGCCAGCAATCTCTTTCCTGTACAGAGCCTAAACACACTTGACCTTTCCTGTTGATCACTATCATCAGTCTGAGGAAATCACAGCCTTCTTTTAAAGCACATTTTCTATTGTATCAAATGTTACTGGTTAATTCTTTACTTAGGTCTGCTATGAAATGTTGTGTAACAACATGTCAAACAATAACTTATAATTGTTTAAGAAATGTATTCAAGGACTGACTTGTGCTTTTTGCTGTCTGTTCATTGAGAGCATGCCCTTAACATATGCATGACTGGATGGCAGTTAGAGTGTAGGAGGCAAGAGGCAACGTAGGATCAGCAGCTCTGAACACAGTTAACTGTAGATTAACCTCAAGCTCTGCCTCCTTTATTTGCAGGCGGGACAAAGTCCTCAAAGAGCAGTGGACGTTCTAATGGGCGCAAGGCCAAGTCTCCAGGACCAGGTCTGTCAGGGGGGGAGAGACCGTCCTCTGTGTCCTCAGTCCACTCAGAGGGAGACTGCAACAGACGAACTCCCCTCACCAACCGTGTCTGGGAGGACAGGCCTTCATCTGCAGGTATGGACTAAGATGTATTGTTAAAGCCCACCTCTGGAGTCTTTTTTGCCTTGATAACATGTCCATCATGTGTTTAGAACACATATGAGCACTATGAGCATTCAACTCCACAGCTGAGCATTGACACTGCAGTGTACTGATGCCACTCAAACACACTGATACAGATTGTCTGGGTTTGATTATTATGATGGAAAACGACTAAATATGTAACGTTGATTCACAGAGATGAGTTTTTTGTGGTATAATCAGCAACCAGAGAGGCACTTCAGCTATTTTCAACACAATTTTCATAGAAAGGAGAATTAAAACTCAAAACAATTCTGTGGCTTTGCTGTTTGCAGGTTCAACACCAACTCCCTTTCCATGCAACCCGCTGATAATGCGTTTCCCCAGCGGGACAGTGTCTGCTCATTCCCCCTCCTCTGGCCAACAGGGGGGCCAGGGCCCAGGGTCAGGACCTGGACAGGGTCGCTCCTGGGAGGAGGAGCCCAAGCCTCTGCTCATGTCTCAGTACGAGACCCTGTCTGACAGCGAATGACCGGAAATGCCACTGTACACCAGGACCCGCTAACAGTCAACCACCTCTGAGCTGCTGCAGCCACACACACACACACATATACATACACACACACCTGCCGAGGCATCTGCAGACCTAGCCACACCATTCCAACCTGCATTTCCTCCATTAGTCATCAGGCAAGGATTGTGCCCTCCTTTCACGCAGCGATGAAGTGGAACACTGCTGCTCCCTGTGTGTGTCTGTGTGTGTGTGTATGTTTGCACTTTCATGTTATGCATTCACTCCAGGACTACTCTAAAGGACAAATCACTTTTTTTTTTTCCTTTTTTTTTTTTTTTCTTTTTAAACTTTACTACTTTTCCTCACTGGCCTTATCAATATAGACACATTGACCTGCACCTATTGGGTATGTCGGTCTAATGTGCTTACACTTGTGTGGAAGGGACTCTGAGGTCGTGCTGTCGGTCCGGTCAGGAGCCTGATGATGGCTGCTCCAGTGACAGATAATTTGGCCTGAGAGCAGCGGCCCACACAGCGAGGAACCTCGCATGTTTCTTCATGGTGAACTCCAGGTGCAGGCGGCCTGTGCACTGCTACCACTACGAGAATACGTGTGGCGGGACAGGAGGAGAATCGACATCTTGTTTTTTTTTTTGGTTTCGGTTCTTTCTTTTTCTCCTTTTAATTCTGTCAGTCCAGTCCTGTGTTTGGTGAGCTGAGACCTTTAGTACATTTTGATGGTGAACTTTTGATGGTGTCATTTGTTGTCTCTCTTATCTGCAATGATGTATCTTTTTGGGGCCGGGGTTGGGGGGGCAGAGATGGTTATGCGGGAGGGTCATATCATTGGTTTACAGGGTAAACATGCTGTTCATTGCTGATGTCATCATATATTAAGGAGGGCCCTGGAGAAAGGCAAAGCCCTGCTGACTTCAGGAATCCACTTGGGGAGAGATGATTTGCCAGATGGATGGCACTGAGACAAGTGACACTTTCTCACTGTTTTTATATTAACCATGTCTGTGTTTGTTGAAACAATTTTTGGATATTAAGCACTTAGTTGTCAATCTGTTCACAATGGCATTTTTAAGAATCTGTGTTTCCTGGGGCAGGTGAAAAACGGACTCAAGAAAAGCATAGAAATCCCACTGTGGAGGTATCCTTTAACACCTGTCTGTTTATTTTGGTCTTGCCACCTACATTCTTTAGCGCTCCCACACTCAAAGCGACAATCACATTTTAGTGAACGATGAATAAGCCGCTTCGAGCAGGTTGCAGACCGACCTTAAAGCTGCTTAAAGGCAAATTCCACAGCATCACTCGGAGTTTCCTTGCATTAAAGAGGTGAAAAAACAAAGCCATCTATGACCCTTGGTCCACAGCAGCGTTGGCTTCAGCTGGCCTGCCAGAATCCCGTCTAGGAGCTGTTGTGACGGTCTGACCTCTGACCTTTTACTGCCCAGCAGAGGCACTGAGACTCTTCATCCAGGCAGATTTTGTACAGTTATGAGATATTCCTAGTGTTAAGTGCCATTTATTTTACATATACAATACTGAAGTTACCAAGTGACGCACAATTTTTCTTTTAGCCCCCCTAACCAGGGTTCATACTGTCCACACAGGGAAATCTAAAACAAAAAGCAAATGAAACATCCTGTTTTTTTGTGTGTTTTTGTGTGTGTGTTTTTTTTTTTTTTCCATTTTTTTCCAAATCCGTCACTGCCTTAGCTTTTAACTGCTTCACTCAATAAATTTATCCTTTAAGCAAGACAAAACAGTGTCACAGGACAGCTTACCTGGACCTGCACCAGACATTTTCTTCACTAAGAGATCAGTGAAACTACTTCAAGTGTACTTCATTGACCTTCTGTTAGCACTGGTTAGACGGAGTTGAGGGCAATGCACTTGAAAGCATTCAGGCAGTTTTATGTACCATCACTTGACGTGTTCTCACATTGCAGTATTTCAAAGGTCACGCAATCGGTTTTAGTGGTTTAGAAAGACTCACCTCTATCTCTAGTCCATTTTGTCACTGTGGGTTCTCACAACACAAACATGACTGTTATCGGACTACCTCCTCTCCCTCCTTCATGCTACCTGTCGATGGTGATGCATCTCACATGCCTTACCTGCAGAAAGCTCATCTCAGCCATTTTTTAGGTTTTTGTTTTTTTTATCAACACTGATGGAGAGTTTGTAATTTCAGGCAAAGCAAAAATACAGCCAGGCTTTGTACATTGGTCTCTCTGCGTGTATATCATTTATCCACTGAAAAAGTTCAAGAATGTGACGCTAAACAGACTAAGCCATATCCAGCTGTCCCCTAAACCGATGACTAATATGTTGTTTTTAAAAAGTATACTGAAATGAATTTTAACATGCATCCTTTTCGTTGTTTGTCCGGTGCACACACGTGTCATTATAAAGCAAATTAATCACTCAAACCTAACAGGACAAAGTTGATTGCTGATGTGTTCCCTGGACTGTCCAACGGTGGGTGGGTTGGGGGGGAGGGGGGGATTGACAAACAATACATTGTTCAACCATTTTGTGCATATTTTTTTTTTTTTATTATTATAACCCACTGTATAATAGCAAGGATTGTATATACAACTGAAGAGATGTAAATATTTATGTGGCTTGCTTCAAGGTTGGTATTACAAAAAAAAAAAAAAAAAAAGAAATATTCACATGGTTAAATTCTACATGCCCACCAGCAAGCTTTGTGGATAGCAGTGTAAAAATGAAAAACAAAAAAGACACTGCCTTAATGTTTAAATAAAAAGCTTATTGCCATTCATCGTCTCGGTGTCGCATTATTTATTGGTTTTCACTGACTGTCTACATCCTCACACTTTGTTTTCATCACTCTGCCTTGCAGGGAAACTCCACAGGCACCCAGTAATGAAGGTCAAGGTCCAGCAGGGGGCGATACGGGCATATTTTAAATTTATATATTGAACACATTTGACAGAATTGTGGAGGAGCTGCTTTATGACTGCATGCAATAATTGGACAAAAGCTGTTGAAATATTTCCCTGACCTACATTATTGCTGCAGCGGATGGAGTGCGGAGTTGTCTGTGGAGCTTGTTAGTTCCTCCGATACAGATCTGCTGCTGATCTGCTCTCCAGTGATCTGCTGTATGATCATTCAGCTCACATGAAGGTCAGACTGCATGTTGTTCTCCTCCTTATGTAACTCCCACCAGCTCTGCAAGGTTACCATGTTACAAAGGAAGTTACTTAAGAGTAGAACTCGAGTGCAGTTTTGCTTTCATACATACAACATGGAAAAATGTCCTTTTGATACGCTGCTACAATGTAATCTATACTTACTGTTACAAGTATGAACGTGACATACTTTAGACTTCTTCTCTACTACAGTTAAATATTGTATTTATTTATTTTTTTTACCATTTATTTGAATAATTTGTTTGCAGGTTTACATCTGTGTTTAGTACAGATAGACCACTATATTTATTGTCGGTTCGTTATTACTGATGTATAAATGGTAAGGACCTGTTTTTGAGCGTTAGGTGGACTGGTTTGTGCTCATTTTAATAATTTTCTAAGCATTTGTATTGAGAAATCTCTAACAATGCTGTTGTTGGTCTTTCTATGTGGAGTTTACGTGTTCTTCCTGTACCTGTGTGGGTTTTCTGCAGGTGCTCCATCTTCATCTCACAGTCCAAACACAGGCATAAGTAGCTGTAAATTGGCTGGATTTGTGTTTGCCCTGTGATGGACCAGTGATCTGTCCAGGTTTTCCCCCTCCTTGTTCCAGGTGTCAGCTGTGGTAGATTTCAAACCCCCTGCAATTCTATGGATGAAGCAGGTATCGATGGATAGCATATACTACTGTACAGTCATAAGGATTTTTTTTTTTTTTTTTAGTTGATCTACATTTAAATATACTTGAATTGTTCTCTCTTGAATCGTGTCACAATCTGGTATTGCTCATCTCACTTGTTGCAAAATGTTTAATGTCTTAAATTATGCATTACTTACATCCACGTTTAAAGTAATGGAAGAAATATTTAGGTCCTTCATTTCAGTTAAAGTACTACAACCACACTATGCAAATTCTCCACTACAAGTAAAGGTCCTGCATTCAGTAAAGCTATGCAAGTCTATCAGAATCAAAAGTAGAAGTAGTTATTCTGCAGAAAACCGGTCTCCATCCATGTTTTATGGTGATGTATGGTGTTTTTGGATCAATATTACTGCCTAATTGCATATGCTGCATGTTACTGCTATAGATGTTTAAGGTTGAGCTCATTTTAACTACTTTACATACTGTTGGGCAATTTAAACTACAGCAATGTATCGTATTGTATTAGGTCTTTGTGGCGTTGATATCCTGTGAGAACCATATATCTCTGAAAAGTCAGCTTTTCATGAAAAACTGTTCTGAGATCAGCAAATTCAAGACGTTTTACAATATATATATGATCGCATTTCTTAAGACGTAAGAAAGTGTTTCCAACCCAAGAACGAACACTAAATCTTTGAATGAAAAAAAAAAAAAAAAAGATTTATCAAACTTGAAGAAACATGCCTTTCGCTTGTCATTACGTGGAGGAAAAATTAAATTATAATCTGAAACGTAAGTAAAGCTATCAGACAAATTTAGTTGAGTAAAACGTATGAAGCTGCATAAAAAGGAAAAACTCTAGTAAAGCAGCAGAACCTTAAATTTGGTCTTGACTAAATCTACTTTGTTGCCTTCCACCCCTGATGTTTAATTGCTTGCAGTTTTCTTTTGCTCTGTCTTTGCACATTTGAGCAAATAAAATAAACTGGATCCCACTGATAAAAGCATCACTCCACAGCACTGTAGTGGCCAAAGAAATCCACTGAGTACCGTTGAGTTAGTGATCAGGTACTTCAGGTGAGTGGCTGTGCTTCTTCCAGAGCACAGACTGAGAGACAGATCTGGCAAAGTAAAACCTCTCATGACAACAACAGATAAAATATTTTTTATGCTTCTGGGACTTCTGTGCAGTGGAGTAACATAGCTTTCATGAATCCTTTACTGAGTGCTGGTTTACATTCTTTGATTTGCTGCCGAGACAGTTAAAATTCAGTCCTGCAGTTTCATTTGTGATATTAATCAACCTGAAGCTTTTACTTTAGTTTGCCGTATCATATCGTTTCTAAAAGAGCTGTTTTATCTGCTGATTTTCACACTTTTGAGTTTGTTTTTTTTCACAAACTTTTACTGCTTGGATTTATTCACAGGAACCAAAACAGCTTTGACAAATGAGGCCCTGGTAAATGTGAAACTGCGGTCAGGCCTGTTTGCTGCTTCACTGTCAGGAGGCACCTCGGCCTTATCCAGCGCCGGAGAGAGACGGATGAGGCGCTGAATGATGTGAGCTGCTGTGGAGACCCTGAGGCACCGGTCCAAAACCCTACGCCAGCGCTGGCTGCAGGAGCTGCTGTTATTTTAGTTGCAGGCTGATATTTAAAGCCTGCAAAGGATATACATGCAGAACGATTGGCACCTTAATTTACAGTCTGGTTTCCTCGTGTACATAGAGGGGAGGTTCCTATAATGAAGGAAACCAAGAGCCACAGAGAATATAAAGGGCCGGAGTTGCGGATATCACATTTATTTTCTTTAATTTTTAATCTTTATCAGGTTTGTCTTTTACCAGATTGATAGCTTTACTAGTTTTTGAGACTTATACACTTTAAATACTGATCAGTTTGCTTAACTCTTTAAAAAGCATCATATATATTCTTATTTTCTTAATTCTTTTCTTTTGCAGCATACCAGTTTCTGTAATACATAAAAGAGTGCACACTGCATCATATTAAATGTGGCAACCCTCCCTGTCTCTGTCAGACTGATAGATTAATCCAGCGGTGCTCACTGAAATACAATTTCCTGAGATCAAAATCAAGCAACAGATGTTCAGGTTTAGGGTTTGGGAATTGCTTTTTTTTTATTATTCAATTAGGATATACATCTTTTTAAATTATTTTCTTTGATCAGAACAGGAACGATGATCGACGTACAAAAATATAAAGAGAATTATGAAGTGCCTCGATGCCACATATACAACAGGAAAAATATTTTACAGTAACAAAAAAAATCAAGTGTTAGAAAACACAAAAATATCTCACATAAAACCACCAAAGTATTAAACTCGACACCCGCCAACTTTCTCTCGTCGCTCTCTGACATTCCACAGACCATCAACACGTACCCAATCTCTCCCCACAGACTACTGTTCAGTATAAAAAGCCAACTCCACAACAATTTCCTCATCTCATCTGTATATTTTTGAAAGAGCAGATCATCTCGTCTTGCTCCTCATATTTCTACTTTCTCTTCCTCCCTCATCAAATCCCAGCACCCACCTTACAGTATTGATGTGCTGCCACGGCTTCATGCCCTCTTTTCTACTCCACACTTTCCTGGAGGGTATTTCAAACCATAAAATACAACAAGAGCTCAAGACCTCGGCTGAAAATTCAGGAATACACGTTTGAAATGAAATAAAACTGATATTACGAAAATTTGAGGTAAAGTCTGAAGTTTCAATATTTGCCATGTTCAATAACCTAAATATATATATATAATGTATAAGACAGACACATAAAGAAGTTGTGGAAACGCTAAGAAATAAAATCTTACATCTTTGACAGGGAAATCTCATGTGGATTTACTGCTTCACTTTTTACACGTTTACGGAGAAGTTTGATGCTTTTGATCGATCTCGGATCAGAAGCTGCTGCTGAAAACAGCTAGAAGCACCCAGTTGCACCAGCTGCTCATAAGCTCCTGTTGCTGAAGTGAAGTGGAGATAAAGACATCACAGAAGCACAACTTGCTCTTATGTAGAGTTTGGTCTTATAAATGTGCTGCATCACCAGCTGAATCACTGATCTGTTTTTGACTGATGCCGTTTTCTAACTGAAGGTCACTAATTTTACCAACATGCTTCGAATTACAACAGTCATGAGAATAACATCAGACATGTTGGTCAAATTAGGTTAAGGCCTGATAAACAGCTTGTCCCTGTAAAACTGTAACTTTTCGGATGTGATGCTACAAGTTACGACACTTCTGCGACTTCATGTTTACATCTGTTTTGTAATGGCCTACACTACAGAAGTCTTTACTAGTTCGACATTCCTTCCATTGTGACGCTGCAACACGATTTGGGAAATCACAAGTTCAACATTAAGGACGAGTCACTTCATGCACAAACTCTTGACAGATTTATGAACAGCTGGTGCCAACCCAGAGCAGTTGGAGCAGATTTACATCGACCGCTTGTGGCACTGAACCACCGGATGAAGTTTGGAAATGGTTCTTGTGCTTGTTTTTGACTCTGACAGAGAAGAAGACGGCTGAGTGCTGCCGCATCTGCACAGTTTGTTCTGTACCAAAAGTTGTGACAAATTTGCGGATTCTTCCCTCTGATTGTCTGTTTTGTTTGGCACTTTCTTGCGCGAGAAACTCCATCAATTGGCAACAAAGTGGGTAAAAAATGTGAAAGTCTTAATAAATAACAATAAATCTTTTTTTTTCCTTGAACTTGAACTTTGATTTTTGTTCTGCAGCCCAGTAGAACCTCTTAGAGACTAAACTAGGCACCAGATTACTAACACAACCTTAACTTGGAGATTAACTAAACTATTCACATTACGGTAACAACTGCTGTGATCCAACCTAGTTGAATATAATGTACAGAGAGACTTTAAATTAGAGCCCGACTAATATATTGTTCAGCCAACATTATTGGCCTTTCACAAATACTGAAGTATATATTGTCCAATATGTGCTAATATGTCATTGATTTTATTTTATTAACCTTACACAGTTTGTCCTGCAGAATGGCTCTGACTCCATTGCGTTCACTGTTTGCAGCACATGTAGCAGAGTATGTATCACAGATGAGGCAGCACGGAGTCAAGCAGGTGTCTTCATGGTAAATGCCTTACTAGATTGGAAATACATTGCTGGAAATTCAATATGCAATGACCCCATCACTCTCCCTTTTGTAACATATACCATATATTGATTTTGGATTTTTTTACTCCCTAATACTCTGCATCAGTCCGGCTCTACTTTAAACATCTCCCCTCTTCAGATACTCTCAAGACAATCCTTAATTCTAATGTTGCGATCCTTCCTCTGATTATACTTCAGTCCTACCTCTCTTGATTAAACTAGCCACGCTGCTGTTTGTGAGTTAATTAAAACTGTAAAACAAAAGCAAGTGCTCAGTCTCACAGTGTGGAGTCACTGGAAGGAGATGTTCAAACTATCTTTGGTCCATTTTTTCAGATGCAGTACTGAAATTCCCCCCTGCAATGTCAAGTCCTCTGAGAGAACTGTGATATATAGAAAACAAGTGCAATAAAGCCGTATTTAGAAAGCTTTGCATTGGTGTGACTGGGGTTGCGCAGGCTCGGCTAAAATCCACGTGTCACCTCAACTTTTCTCTATATACACAGACATCTACAACGTGATTGTCACTTCCAATGAGGTTACAATCCAACACGAAGGAGAGCAAAGGCCACCAAATTTCTGAGCTCCTGCATTAAATAAGCAGCTTTAAACTGCCAGAGGGCCAACGCTCTTTTTAAAGACTGCAACAGTAGAAAATCTAAATACACTCAGGTGAAAAGTCACTGAAGGGTTCCCAGAGTTTTCTCTGTAAAGAAGAACAGAGCAGGGTTTTTATGGGCTCCGGGTATTACTTGAAGTATTTCCCTTTCAACACGGGCCTTTCCAAGTTCCTTGTCTTCCAAAATAAAAATAAAACCAGATGATGAGCAGGCGGCTCTCTGCCGGTGCAGGCCGACCCAGTCTGGGCTCTACAGGTCCTCTGTGTAGATGATGCAGGGACTCGTATCCTCGCTGGACTCCAGCTGCACCGTGGACACGAACCAGCGGCGGGAGCTCGTGGCGTTGTAGTTGAGCGTGGTGCGATAAGTGTTCTTGGCGTGTTTGGGGTAGATGATGGTGGTGCTCTGGTAGCTGATGGGCCTCTGCCGGGGCTCCAGGTACACTTGTGTCTTGTAGCTCCTCCAGGTGCAGTTCCTCACTGCCACCACTGTCTCGCTAAAGGAGGTTGCCGTGGGAACGGGGGCACAGACCACCCGGTCCCGGTAGTGCTTGTCGGAGTCGTACTTGACCTCAGTGTTGCACCTGGAAAGGAGAAGGTGATCGTTTAGAAACCCATCAGAACCAGATCACTAGGTGGCAGCGTTGACAAGAGAACACTGATTAAAATAAGTGAACTAAGCCCCATATTGCAAATAATACTTTGTCTTTACGCGTCAGGGGTTTCCCTTACTTGATTTCCTGCTCTGGTTTGAGGTTGACCTCAATGCTCTCTCCATAGAACACGGGGTACATGCGGGTCCTCGGGTCTGTTCCTGTGGAGCTCAGCAGCAGGTAGGGCAGCTGTGCAGAGGAAACACAAGAGTCACAATCTCACAAAAACATCCATGAACAGTTTGTAATCAGCCTGCCAATGTGTCCATTCAAGGAATTCCAAAAGAAATAAAAAATAAATCCCAGCATGGTTTGGGGAGGGGGGGTGGGGGGGTTCAACAGAGTCAGCAACCCAAATTAAAAACACTGCAGTCCCCACCCTCTCCAGAAAAACACACTCCTTGATCCTCCCTCACGAGAGCTCGCCTTGTCGATGGCACGGCTGTAACTACAACTACAATTAGACATGAATCACAGGAGTTGGGGCAACTTCCATTTTAACTCAAATAATTACGCTGTGTGGGTCCAGCCAAATGAAGTGTTGGTGGTAAATCTCTTTCACTGCAGTTCAGGCTGCTTAGAGACGTGTGACCCAGACATAGCCTGCGTCTGTTTATGTGTGCGTCGACCGAAAATAGGCTTACACATGTTGGGGCTTACAGTAGTGAAAGAAAAGGGGAAATTCATTTACAAAACAGTCAGTCCCCGGAGCTGCTGGTAGCCCAGCTGAGTGGAGACAACACTGTTTGAAAATGTTAATGAGGTGACGGTGAAGGATTGTCTTTTTGTCTGCAGCCTACACAGGGAGGTCAGAGGTCAAATTCAAAGCTACAGAAACCCCCAAGCTGGTGGAAGACGCAGTGTTTCGACTGGATGTCGCGTCAGCGGCCACTTTTTCTGCTCATATGGAGACTAATATTGGGTTCTTATGTGACATTTTTATCATACTAGTTTTGTCATTTTTATAGGTTTAATTACTGCAGATTACCTGTACATTACTAGGGGTTGTGATGAGCCAAAATCGATTATTAGAAACCAAGGAGGCCAATAACTGATATTTGGAACCAATATATGGTTGCAGTAAAAATAAAAATGGCTTTATTAAAATGCCTATGTTCCTTTTGTTGTGCATCTGTTTAATTAAAAGAGAACATTTCAACATTTATACTTCGGCGTTGATTGGATTTATTCAAAATGCAGAACCAATCAGATAAGGTGTGGGCGGGACATTTCTCAAGCTCACATTGTGGTGAGTAGAGACAGACAGAGAGAGGCGGCTGCCTGCAACAGGGCTAAAGACGCACATTTTACGTTTTTTGTTGTTTTTTTAAAATTATTATTATTATTGCAATTGACTTAAGTAGATTTGCTGTACCAACAATCAGAAAAATGCAAGATCCGATAGTTGCTCAACTTCTACTAGGTTTTTCAGGCTGCAGCTAATAATTATTTGAAAAAACTGATTTTTTCAGGTCAATAGTAAGTAGTTACAGACAGACAAATCTGTCCATCATGTCATCATAAAACCCAAACGAACATGTTAGCATCACTTATTCTATCTGTTTACCACTAAGATAAAAAAAAAAATTCTGTTTTTTTTTTTTTTTTGCATTCATTTGACTGATTCTTGTTAAGACTCACAGGGTCTTTTTTAAGCCCCCTGCAGCAATATCAGATAAGCTGCTGGTGACACATGTCAGACATACTATACTCCACTAAGTGTTTAAAGCAGGTCTGACTGTGCACCGACCCTTGACCCCTGAGTCTGCTCCCTCTGGAGCCATAACAGGACTCAAAGAGCTGCACCAATCACAAACACTGATTCTGTCAGTTGTAACTGACTGTTTTCTTTGCAGGTGTGTCTCCAAACACTGACCAGTCGGAATCAAATGGCACACCGACCACAACTCTGGCACCTCTCACATTACAGAGGGGAGGCTGTCACATGCTGCGGTCTGACTGCACATGCCACTACAGGGGACGAGCAAGAGCAGGCCAAGGGCACAGCAGATCACTGCGCCGAGCTCGTCTTACCTACAGCCCACCATCATCACCGCACTCTGTCTGAGCCGTGGCACTGAACTTGCACAGCTGCTAGTTTTGCCATGCAGGACTGAAAGAAGTTCATCTGCAGGCTGTTCATTTTCCGCCGCCGCCGCTTCGTGACTTGGAAACACTTGTACGAGTGTGTGATTGTCTTGCTGCTCCGGCATGGAGAGCATTCCAGGTATTTCTCCATGGTGTGCTCTGGAAATGTCTGCAAAGCAAACAGTGGTGAATGGAGGGTAGGTCACCTTCAGGCAGCGTATCCCCCTGCATGCACGCAAAGCATAACCCCCCCCCGGAAGCACGTTTCAGCCCAGAAGAAATAGTCTGCAGCTGAGTAAGCCGCACAAAACACAAAACACAATGCAGAGCGATGGAGACAAACGCCAGCACAAACACACATTTCCAAGTGCTGGCTGCTTGCTGGAGCAAAGCCTCAGACTTTACATCCTGTGTTTCATGTGGGAGCATCAGTATCACACGGTGAGGCCGATTTAGAAGAAGTCATGAGAACTGTCTCCTGCCTGTCCTCCTGTCTAATCCACCAACAGTTGAGCCACCTCCATGTCCACAATCTTATCCAGTCCTGAAATATTCATGATACATTACACCACGCACATATTACTAATGCATCCATCTCCTCTGGTGAACCTATTCGTGTGTAAAAAGATGCGAGTGTAAGAATAATTATCCTGAATTTGCATAAATTTGAACCAACTTTGAAAACAGACCGGCTGTCTGAGCATTTATCCTCGTTTAATTTAGAAGTGAGAGGTCATCAAACACTTATGCAATGGCCTGCAGCCGCCCTAACAAGCCCCTGCGCCTCAAAATAGAGCCTGAGGATTGTTCTTAGGTGGCATACAAAAACAACACAAAAATAGATTTGTTAAAGAGGGAAAAAAAAAAAAACGCCGCGCATGTATGGTTCCCCTCGCCCTGTTCGCAGACATGTACTCAAAGCGTTTAAGAAACTTTTGATTCCTTCAACACACACAGACCCACAGGCAGAATAACAAACGGGAGCAGCCCCTATCAGGACTGATCTTTAAAAGGGAAATCACAAAGCAGAGGAGTACTACTAATCTGAACCTCCAGAGGATTACAGGATCTCTCTCTCTCTTTTTTTTGTTTCAGGCTTCAGCAAACCAATCTCACGCAACTCCCAGGATGCAGCGCTGCATTTCTGAGGCCTCCTTCAGACTCTTTAAAAGCCACCCCGACCTGCGCAGACTTGTTCAGAAGACTTTAGAAACTGGGAGTGACCTGAAAATGATTTTCAATCAAATCAGCCTTGTCATGTGTGACACACAGGCCACTGCAGGATGTGCCATTAAAATGCATTTGTCCTCTGAAAGAGAAGGAAAAGCATCAATTGTCATAAATCTTAGTTTCCATGGAAAGCATTCTAATCATGTTATTTTTGGATGACTCTCCTCAGCTAAATAAATGCTAATATTACGTTAAGGTGCAGTGAATATTTGAGTAGTTTAGCATACAACTGTTGCTCATATACCTGAAAATTAGGGCTGCAACTAAGTATTGACTGTCAGTTTTTCTGTTGATGATTTTTTTTGAGTAATGGATTAGTTGTCAAAAAATGGCGAAAAATGTCAATCAGTGTTTCCCAAAGCCCAAGATGACATCTTCAGTTGTTTTGTTTTGTCCACAACTCAAAGATATTTAGTTTACTGTCCCAGAGGTGAAAAGAAACCAGAAAATGTTGACATTTAAGAAGCTGGAATAAGAAATCTGAGACTTTTATTTTGTAAAATTGCTCAAACTAATCAAAAAAGTCAATAAAATCTTGTTGCTGATGAATACATTAGTTGACAACAAATCAATTATCATTGCAGCTCTTCTGTAAATATATTTCATGTTGTGCAACGTCCCCTCAGAAAGTCAGCTGCTGCTAACGCAAGGAAGAAAGAACAAAGAGCAAAAAACAAAGTCATGCTGACTCTGCTTGCTGGTTTCCTTGAGATTAGAGCAGGAGCTGGTTGAGGCTGTCAACAGTCACAGTGTTTTTACCAACAGGTCGATCACTGATTATCACTGAGGCTCCACATACACAACTAAACAAAGAGAACCTGCCTGTCTGATAGTGTTTCTGTCGCTCCCCCATCCACATGCATGGCGACGTGAACATTACTAACTCCAGCAAGACGCTGCCTTCCAGATGCTGATTTGTTTTTTAGAATAAAGTGATGATTTATTTTTCATTCATGTTGAGACTCTTGGACATGCTGGTACTTTACTGTGTCTCTTCTAGATTAATGTTCACAGACTGAGCAGGATACAGGAGGGCCAACAGGTATCACATGCTACAAAGACATATTAACAAAAGTTAATCGCAAACTGTAAAGTCCTCAAGCTAACTTTAGCGGAGTGTGTCCAGAGTCACAATGAAATGAAAATACTAAAGTAAATGGGATGACTATCTGTTCTATCTGTTACAGTGGGTTGAGCTGTTAGTCAACCAGAGAAGTTACAAGATGATGAGCAGGAGAGAAAATACAAGAGCTTTCTCTCCTTTATGGCTTGACTTTTCTCTGATTGCTGCTTTTCATTACAAAATCCCACTTTATCAAAGAAGGCCTCAAAAATCTGAGGCAGGAAAGTCCCTTTTCGGGTAAATGCTTCCCCAGTTAAAAACATGAAGACCCCCTGTGGAGAAGGGCCACCACACACTGACAGGTTGGGGTACTGGCCTGGTAAACAACCAATTTAAGCTGATTTCAACAGAGGACCCGCTACTCATGGCGTATTTTAAGGTTTTATAGAGTCTGCTTTACTGTGTGACTCAAAGCTTGCTGCTGATTCTAACTTCATCAAGATGCTTCAGTCGTCTTCAGAGCTTAAAGAAGAAGACTGAACTTTTTCAAGACAGTACTCAACGTAAAGGCATCAGAGACCAGAAGCTTTCTAACTTTTTTTCTCTCAAACCTGATCTCACTAGTCATCCTTACACCTTCACACAGACACATGCTACTGAAGTAACTTTCTCTCCTTTTCCTGGGAGCCTTTAGAATCCTGAAAAGGACCCCTGAGAGTCCGTGGACCCTAGTTTGGACACCCAGCTGGGCCCACCAACTCTCTGACCTCAAGGACACCGTGTAGTTTGGCCCAGTTGATGCTCCAGAGTGGAAAAGTGTCTGTTTTATTAAGGGCCAGTAGCATCTTCAGCATGAGGGCAACATCAGAAGTTTGCAGTGAAGGAATTCCGGACAGAGAGAGAGAGAGACAGAGCGAGAAAGGGAGAGAGAGCTTCCAGATGTGAGAGGGGGACTGATGTGAAATCTGTTTCTGGCCAAACACTAAAATGCTCTCAGATTTTCAGCTTCCCTCACAGCAGCGTCATTATTTGGCCATTAAGTCTTTTTATCCTTTAATTCATCGTGTCAATGAAGCGACTGGCTGCAGAATTACTGTGGACATGAAACAGATCCCAGACGCAACTTTCAGATTACAAAATTGTTTCAAATAACACAGTAAATGCAGCGATATGTTTCTTACCAGTTTGCCTTCTCTGCTTTCCTTTTTATAATATCCATGATGGCTTTCGACGGGCGTCGTGCAGCTGCCGGAGCGAGACTCGATCAGACCCGGAGAGAGCGAGCAGAAGGGCGGACTGGGGCTGGGGGGCAACCCCGAATCCGGGCTGTCGAGCAGCCCTTCCCGGTTCTTTCCTTTCAGGCTATCATCCATCGCTTGTAAATGTAGGTGCCCCACCATTTCTGGGACGGCTCAACGTAAAAAACCAGCCCAGACGAAGTCGCACTGACAAGTTGTTCTCTTGAAGCGCTCCGAGCTGCTGCGCGCTCCTGCGTCTGAAGAAACAATCCTGGGCGAACTTTTTCAAGATGACTTCTGCAAGTAGAGAAGAGAAGAAACAAGTCAGGAAAGGCCATTTAACTGGCGCCCTCACAGTCAGAACAAAACTACACAAAGTGAGATCAGCTCAGAGGTTATTTTTCTCCAAACTTTACCTGCGCGTCGTGAAGTGTCCACTTTAATCCGGAGAGATATTCCAAATGTTAGTGAGCAAATCTGAAGACAAACCTGAATTAAACTTTGAACTCGACTCCAATGTGAAGTCTGAGCTGTTATTAATATTAAAAAGTCAACAAAACTCAGAAAAACTCGCGCTAAAACAAAAAGTGGCCGTGCGTCTGGCACCGATCTGGATGAGCGCTGCTCTGCTCTGCTGCTCTGTGTGTCACTGGGTTTCACTGTGTTTCCAACTGTGTGTGCGCGCTCTCCAATGGAGAGCTCCCTTTTTTTCGCACCTGGATCCAGTCCAGCCCTCATGATCTGGATCACTTCCATGTACAACCGACAGGGGCGAGCACGTCCTCCGCTCTCTGCTGTACAGTACGGCTTGGCTGGGTGTGTTTTGCAGCCATGCCAATGTGCCTTGTGGAGAAAATTAATCAATTTTCCTACCTGCTGCAATTGCTTATTTGTTTATTAAACTTGTAATTATCCATCCACCAGCTATTTCCCTTTAGAGGAAGGCAAGAGACTGGAGCCAATCCAGGAAAAACAACATACCAGTGGCCATAATTTAGTTAATGGATAATAATGGTGATGAAACAATAGATAGTTAACAGTTATTAATCAGGGGGTCGGTTTGTATACAGATTGCATTGTTCAGAACTTGCTGTTATTATTAAATAACCAATTAGCAGTTAACAGTGATTCAACTATGCATAGTAAGCAGTTTGTTATAATTAATTGGCAATTAGGAGTTTACAATATATTACTTCACCAGAACAAACAAGGTAGGCTTATCAGTTATTTTACATGTTATGTGCTTAATAACTAAATAATAGTGGTGTTACTATTCGTATTTTGGAGTTTAATCAGTGTAATTAGCAACTTCCCACAATTTTGTGAAGCAATTTTGTAAAACAGAAAGAGCAGTTTTTTCAGTCAGAATACACAAGATCTGACTTTCCTATATCGACTTGCAAGTTCCTGCAGTGGAAATCACCTTATTGATAGACAGATAACACAAGCTATGTCAGCTGAGACTGTAAAAAACAATAGACAGACTGTTTATGAAGTGTCCGTTAGAGGGAAGTTCCACACATATACAAAACTGTATCATCTGCATAACGACGAATATTACTTCCATGTCCATTAAAACCTTAGTTATTAATTTAACTTTTTTTTTTTTTTATACAAGCTTGGAGTTAAGGTTACCTCTACAGAAGAGTTACTAGTGTTCCGATTAGAGCCCAGAACCTCTTCTTACATGAAATCAGATAAAGTTAACCAAAGATAAACAGATGCACTCCTGTTCTTTCAGAGAACACCCTGATGTCAGGCTAATTTAGTTGCAGTTTAAAAAATCATCAATTGTTGAGCAGTTTGTTTTGGCTGCGACTGTGTTCAGTCACTAACAGGATGATTAAAGGGTTATTTTTCCTAAGATCTGTGTGTGTATGTGTGTCTGTAACTATCCTGCCTGGTGTATTTCAGGACTGGGTGGAGATGGGTGGGAACACTTCATCCACCAGTAACCAAATGAGCTGCACACACACACAAACTTACACATGGGCAGAGCAGACAAAACAGACCTGACGAGCAGACAGCAGTCATCAGAGCAGGCAACGGAGAAACAGTCGAATCCTTGTTGATGGCTCCCTCCGCTTAATGTCGGTGCTCTCGCTTCATACTGGTGCTCTTACCGACAGCAGCTCTGCCAAAAGGGAAATCAGAGCACATGTCTTAAGTGTTTGATTGTATCTTTGATGGTCCACCAGCTTTCCATGGTGATTACCATAGATTGCTGGGAAATCATGCGTGATTGTTTTTTCAGTTCTCATAAAAACTAAGATAACTCTGTGTTTACCTTTGTTGTTCTGAAAGATACACTTAATGGCATGCCTCTTAAGCTTGGGCAGCTGTAATGTTGTTTGCTGAGAATTGTTTTCCCTCCTCTGTGTTATTGCTTGGAAGCCACAGCAGGAAGCCGTGGAGCAAAGTTTTACTGGCGTTCCCCATGTCAGGTGTGTTTTTGTGTCATCTTGTCCATCTTAAAGAGCCCATCATGCTGATCCTCAGGCATTCAAGGGATTAGTGTGGAGATCTGGTACAGATTAGCTATAAGACACCGGGACACAGATGAAGAGCGTGTTTGTGAGTGCAGGCATGTCAGTGAACATGCCGAAGGGAAGAGTTGCTCAATTGCAGCCGCACTGAAGTAGAACCAAGCGAGCTCTGAAAATGACCTGAGTGACCATGCTGGAGTTTATTTAGGTCTTTTACACAGAGGTTGGTCTGCTCACGTATCCACTCTGCTGTACATGGACACATTAAAGTTCACCCAAACAACAACAAACAAAAGCATGTTTTGTCGTTTACCTTGTGCAATGTGGCATGGGAAGTAATTTTAGTTTTATTTTTGTAGATTTTGAGGTTTCCATCTTTGAAATTTGGGCCTCCACACCAATACAGTGGACATGAATGGATTTCATTTGTGGTTTTGGAAATGCTGCTGCTGAATTCTTTTTGACAGAATTTTAAGCCGCACTGGCAGTTAATTCCTGCTCCCCAGAGGAGGATTGTAAAAATATTTGTGGTACCCAGATTTTTTGATTTATATTGCCTGAATCAGGTCAAAGTTTTATTTTGTTTACACTAATTGACATGCTACATACTAAACAAGGATTACTATACAGGTCTGGATATCACAGATTAATCCATAATTCATTTGTAGTTCATTTGTAATTAGAAAAAAAGAGCTTTTGTTCTTTGTTTCAAACCAAAAACAGATTCAAGTTTCTGAGTCAAAAACAAAAAAACATGATCCACTTTAGGTTTTTGGCAGTTCTTTTTTTGTTTTCCAAAGAGTTGCATGGGTCTTTTAGCTTTAGTTGAGTTTAGTTTTTTAAAATTTAATAAAATTGAGGTATGTTGTCTTTTTTTATTTGGAAATAAAAAAAATAAATAGTCATTTTTGGTGTAAAATTAAAAGACACTGTCTTTTTCTTGCAACCTCCGATTTTGGTTTCCAAACAAAAACAAAAGGTAAGACAGAAACAAGGTTTTGTTGGTCTTTCATTTAATTCATTCTGACACCTGGACTGAACAGAATTATGCTTTTTTTTTTTTCCTGAATTACAGATTATCCAATGACTGGACCTTTACAGTACCTGCTAAACATCAGTACGGTATCATTGCCTGCATGTTGGCTTGCTGGAGTAATCATTCAACTTAGAGCTCTGCTGTGCCCAAGTGCATTTTGACAGAGCCGCTAACATGGCTGCAGACTCTTATTTCATGTTGTGAGGACCACAATTGAAATTCCATTCAGGTCCATTGTATTTGGCTTGAGGCACAAATCTCATATATCTCAAAACCTGGCCAAATAAAACCAAAACATACATGGCCAGATATCTCAAAACAAACCGCAAAATATGTATTTTTAGATGAACTGACCACAAGGGTAACCAGAGCTGTTAAATGTCCTGTTTAGGAACAGATTGACAAAACAGACAAGCTGCTCTGTTACCATGACACTACTGTTTCTCAGTGTATATAATATAGGATGTATGTCCTTTTAATATCTTTACAAAAACAAACAAAAAAAAAGTCATATTTAACATCCTTGTTTATTCACAGCTTGGACTGAACACATTTTAGGATGCATTTTTTTTTATAACCTCATATTTCCACTGTTGCACCATCAGGCACCATTTGGATCATATGTTGTTGTTGTTTCTCATAGCCAAGGGGATTTTCAAAATGGTAACACACAGATAACAAGAGGGAGGAGAATGCCGTGTGAAATGCGCGGCGGAAATGGTAGGCCCATACCCAAAGTCAACATTTGGTGAGTCAGACCAGCTTAATACATAAAAACAACTCTGTTAGGTTTGGGAAATATCGCAGTTTTGATTGTCATAGTCATAATTGTCTTGGTTACAACATTAAACACATATTTAAGGTTATGAATGTAATGTTGACTATCCATTTGAAATGGGAAATGCAGAGATCACGTGTGTTAAAGTCCAGTGTTCTCTTGTGCCGTCCATCCACCCTGACCTCCTCACTTTGTAAGCAATAGGCTGCTTCCACCGATGGAGCAGTTTTTGAAAGAGCCCCTGCAGTGAAAATCAAGTGGTTTATTTTGTTGTTTATTTTGTTTTGTTTTGTTTTTCCCCTCGTTGGCATGTCCATCTGTTGTTGCTAGAAGACACAAGGCAAGTGAGAGAAGCAGTTAACATCATGACTGAACGTTTCCACTTTGAAACTTTAGTGTTCTGATGACAGGCTCAAGAATGTGGATTCAGACTTTCAGGGTTTCATAAATAAACCAAAGGGAACTCTTTGCACATTAATTTCATGAGGCAGGTGCATTGGAGAGGGACGAGCACATCCAACAGGTACAACATAGTTTTCCTATTGCCTATTTGCCTAATGAAGGTCTAGAACCAAAACGTTGCACTAATAAATTTATGATTGCAAGTTAGCCAGTGTGAGCGTTTCATATATAACAAATCAAAGGAATCAAGCCTGTCAACTTGCAGGGTGGACCTTTATGCATTCTTCTTTTTTGGTTTGCTTTACAGTGTCTGAGCAGAGTCAAAGGTGAGCTGGTGTGCTCGAGCTGCAGCAAGCAGGAAGAGGTGAGCAGAGACAAGCACAGACTCCATAGATCTGCACATTCTCGAGGAGGTTGGTGTTGAGTGACATCAAAGCCACTTTAAGACAGGAAGGGATTGTTTTCATGGGGAAAAAAATATTTAAATATGCAATTTTGATACAGAGAGAGAAGTTTCTCAGAGGTCACCTTTAAATTCAGGTCCACAGAGACAATTTTAAAAAATCAACTGGAATATTTCTACACCCATGTTTGGTTTTGTGGGTTTTGTATCTAGACGGAGTCCGTTTAGCTCTGACATGGTTATAGTGTTGCAAACAAACAAGAAAAAGGTCACATTCTGACCAAGCATGCTTAATGTTTTCTCCATGTGCTCTCATTCATCACATGTTCAGGGAGATGAATTATTCTTTGCCAGACTGTGATCATTAATTTGAGGGGTGGCTGCCTGCATACCTGTTTTATCCTTCTCATTCATTCAGTAAAGTTCCTTTGACACTGTATGTCAAACCTATGACCTTTTCATTATGGATGGTAAACTTTAGCCAGTATTGAACAGACACCTTTACCGCTTGGCCAAGCGGCCGCCCACATAATGTGGGAGTTGATTGAAGAGTTCT